AAAATACCTACATAGCTATTTTTTCCAATTTTTATAGGTATGCGCTCTTATTGGATCCAAGTATAAATTTGAAAATTATTTTGAATAAATAAGTGAGTAAGTATACCTACTTACATATACATATCAATTAACTTCCTGGTTATGATATAGATATAACTAGAAATAAAAAAAAAACCCCGACACAATAACACAACTCTACAAAAAAGAAATTGTCAGTGTCCTAAAATTTATTTTATGATTTTTCTATTCAATATGATTTAAAATAAAAGAAAAATACCCTTATTCCTTAAAAAGTTTGCTTTTGTGATAGTTATGATAATAGGTAAATCCTTTTTCTTGAGAATCGTATTTAAAAAAAAACAAAAGTAGATGTTTTTAAAAATACCGCGAATTCATTCAATTCAGAAGAACAAGGAGAACGTTTTCATCAAGACATCATAAACTTCCAACAAGGTTATCGGGACCAATATAATACAACATGAAAGAAAAAATAATAGGGTTCAATTTTAAACATACATATTTCTAATATTTTGTATTTTTGGTAATTTGATATGATATTAAAAGTTGATAAAAATTTATATATAATATGAAGTAAAGAGTAGTAAAGAGTTGAATATCTTGCAGATTCCAGGTGACACTGCAGCATCACGCAAAGTTACCATATCGTTACAATATCATTGAAGTAATAGGATACCAAGTTTCAATTGGATTAGATCTGTGGAAGCTGCTCATAGGTACTCTCCTTTTACCGTTTAGAAAAGAGCTGATGGATTCCAAATGGCTGAACGGATTCTTTTAATTTATAGCTAAGAACACTCTCGATCAAGTAACCTTTCAAATATATTTTTTTGTTAAAATCGTTTCATCCGTTTGAACGCTATAATGTCACAGACAGACACACAGATACCTACACTGTACACACGTTAAACTTTAGCACCCCTCTTTTTTGGTCGGGACTCGCGCGTTAAAAATGTAGTGTAAGAAGGCGGATGCGGGACGCCTAATGTATGTATGTATCTAGTAATGCTACCTAACTAATCATTTAGCGATTACGTTCATTTATTAACAATAAATCTATTTAATTATTTAGATAATATCGTTAAACGTGTTATTTTATAGGCGCCTTTTTTTTTCTTTTTTTTTTTTTTTTTTTTAACGTTGGGAAATGCATTTACGCACGAAGTGTGGGACTCACCGGCGAAGTCAGTACTACCCACTAAAACCCAACAAAACCTTCCCCCGTCTTAATGGGGCGTCGCAGGATCGCTTACGCATTCAACTACGACGCCCCGACGGCAGGTCTGCCGAAGCAGACCACAACAACCATGGGGTTGCTCCACGGTCCACTCTGCTATCAGAGAAGTACCAGGAGCAACCCGCATGGTACACCACCCTCCGAAGAGGGCCGCCTCCCACCGCCCACCGAAGCTTAGTTTTGCTTTGTCTAATTGCTGTGATAAAGGTCTTTTCATGGATAAATCAATAACTAATTAAGTATGTAGAACAAAAGTCTCTTTAAGATACCTATATATAATTGTAATCGCATTTATACCTAATTTTTGCTCCAAAAGCTCTCCATGCAATCACATATTATGTAGGTACATTATGCCCCGAATTTTTATTTGGAAGTCTGAAGCCACAGCTTGTTCATCTATAGGTTGTCTCTACTGTAGCAATTGTCTGCTACAATTATTATAGGTATATACCTACATAGGTAGGTATATGTATATATGGCAGCCATGAACAACCCACACTTGCTTCTGCTTACCTTTGGGAAAATCTATAGGTAAGTATGAATGAAAAAGAATCACCGAAATGTATGTACGCGCATAACTTCCGATCGACTGCACCAAATTGGATAATTTTTTTTGTTTGTTATTGTCAGGACAAGCTTTGTATAGAAGAAAATTAAAAGAAATTTTATTTACTAAAATAATATTTTTTTTAAATCTCATGATATGAAAAGTGAGCGAGTGAAATAGTTTTCATCCCAGAAATCATCCCTTAAGGGGCTGAGAATGAGTATGAATGTTTGTATTGGGAAGCAAGTTAAAAAATAAATAAACCTACCTACATTATAGACGACATTCCATTGTATAAATGGTGTTAAAAATAATTTGTACATATATTGTAGGTATTTATTAGTAGCTCGTGTCATTAAAGCTGTCAGCGAAAAGTAGTAAATAGGGTGATGTTTATACCTACAACTTAGATTATTTATCACAACAAGGTACAATTTTTTAGGTATCTAGGTACACTAAAAAGTTATCGATATCAGTAACATCGTGTTTGTATGCATGTAGAGCTGTTATCACGTTAATATCTTTACTGAAACTTGTGTAGTATCTATTAGGTATATGATTTTTGCTAGAAGTAAACAGGACAAGGCTTCACTTTATACAGTTTTCGGACTATTAAATAATGGTAAGCTGTTAATCTCACAATTTGGACACACGGGCCGGATTAATCTCTATATACCTATATAAATGATTTAGGTAATAATTTAATTTAACGTCCTATTGCTGGGCACGGAGCTCTACTCAATGTGAAGGGGATCACGTCACAGTTCGCTGGTCAATTATCAATTATATTTAGAAGTGTTTTGAAAACCAGTCAGACTCTCAGACATGCAAGTTTACTCAAGATGTTTTCCTTTACCGCCAGGCCTTTGGTGGTGATTATTATGATAATAGTGATTCCCATATGAAAATGTAAGAGATCACGAGGTGGGACAACCAGATTTAAATCTGATTTAGGTACTTCGTTTTTCGAACGATCGTTATCAATGGTCTACTACTAGGTAGGTAGGTAGGTAGGTAGGTATATCTACCAGTGGCGAAGGGTCTTACCTTAAAATTATTTTACTATATTACCTTAAAATTATTATACTATATAGCTACTATATAGTAGTATATTATTACTTACCTTAAAATTATTATACTATATAGCTTTATTTCTTTCTGCATTAATAGGTACGTATATAAAAATTGTATGTTTTTGGAACGGCTTTACTGTGCTAAAATTTCACCCTTCGCCACTATTATCTACTCATTTGCTTACACAATAAAAAACAAGTTATTTGTAATGAATTTTCGAAATTTTTGACAATCTAGCTCGCCAAATCTACTCACCAAAGATAGCTACTAAAACGAAAGACAGCGCGAGTATCTGCTTTTTCAATAACTATTAAAGCATCTCAACATGTATTTATTTCTATTATGCTTTATGATATTTTATTAAAAGTCCATTTAGCAGACGCACAGTAGTAATATGAATACTAACACTCTCGCTACTAAAATCATTTAATAGTTATTAAAGCGTTTTCTTCTATCATAATTAGTGAGTGTTAAATAGTCGGTATACCTATTACTAAATTGAATTGAATATGGGAGGCATCATAATGGGTGGTCATTTTAAAATTTAAGTTGCTTAGGTATGTACTTACATATGCAGAGAATTTTAGCTCTTAGGTAGGTAATCGTAATGCATAGAGTAGCCAAATAGGTACATAGATCATAGGCTATAGAGTAGGCCATATTAATAACATACTAGCAGAACCCGGGGCTTCGCTCGCGCTAAAACTGCAAAAAATCTCTACCAAGGTAGTTTCATACAAACTTTTATCTCCTATTTAACCCCCTTTACGATGAATTTCGAAAAATGCTAAAACACGTATTTAATACCATATAATAGCATTAATACCAAGTTTCAAGTAATTCTGATCATACCTAAATATTTTTTTGGATTCTGTTATAACGCGTTTTCTCGTGGGAATTAGATAAGCTCCCCCGGTAAAAAGTATATACTATGTCACTCTCCAGCCCTCCATCTATCTCCACACAAAGAATCACGCCAATCCGTCACTCCATTTGGACGTAAAAGAAGGACAAACAAACAAACACACTTACACATTTATAGTATTAGTATTAATATGGATGTAGTACCTAATTTGTTAATACTGAATTTTATTATCTAAGTAGGAGATACGAGAGAGATAGTCCTCGCTTCTTTCGGGTGTGTCCATAGGTGTATAAAAAATCGAATGAAACCTACTGAATGTCAAGCAAATTCGTTCAGCCGAGTCAACGTTTAGTAGCAACAATCATACACACACGTCACATGTGTATGTAACGTCTAGAATCTAGATAGGTACCTGTCTATTTCTTTCACAGTATTCATATTGTAAAATTGCAATTAATTAACCAATTTTTTTTCTTCTAATACCTAAACTTTAAAGTTTGATTGAGCATAGGTTTACTTAACTATAGTTAAAAATATTTTTTTATTAAGTAGGTAAGTACCTATCTACAGTACATGTTCGTACCTACTACATTTACTTGCAGGTTTAGAGATTAAGTCTAAAGAGGAGGTAGCTACATTAGTTATCTATAGGTACTTAATTAGGTTTATCTAACATAATAAATTCTTGGAAAAATAATAATATTTACAAACGTTTAGTCTTTGAATATTAATTGTCTTTCCATAAAGGTAGTACTTACTCTTGATAGATGTACACCATACCTATTATATGTACCTATTATTATATCATCTATATATAATCTGTGACATGTTCAGTTTTTCCGCCATCGTTAAGAAGCTAATTAACTTAACATATACACAGACTCGTTCAATATTGCGATTCATATATTAATCGCGATGCCGCATTGTTTTATAGCTCGAATAAAGAATATAAGTACAGCGGGCGGAGCGTATAACAGGAATATCAGTTTGATATCGCGAGGTTTGATTCGCCCTGATGCGAGACGCCTTGGGGCGGGGCTTGCGTGGAGAGGGGAGCCGCGGCATCAACTCGCCATACCTTTCCGTGCCAGCCGCGGGGACGCTCGTATTTACAGTGTAATCGTGAACTTTCCTTAATTGCATGTACCGTGCGAGTGTGATCGTGTAAAAATTGCCGTTGTGTGGCCTCTTGTCGTTCCCGTGCTTCAAAAACCGCCAAGATTCGGGTGAAGAATCGTGAGCCGGTGCCGGCGTACGCCATGGCCGACGCCGACCGTGACTCGGATCTAGGAGACGATAGTCCCGTAGTAAGTTCTTTTTTATACTTACTTTACATATGAACTGTCACGTGATATCCGTATAATTGATATCCGTTATAATTGTTTGTATACTCGTATGTTTCTTAAGTTTTTTTTCGACATTTTTGGAGATAACGCTTTAAGCTTTAGTATTTATTACCTTTCGCCAATAAAAGATGCAGGTACCGGTCACTTGAAGTTTGAACATTCGCAATAATTAATTTGCATGGCAACCGCTGTAAGCCGTCGCTACCAGCACCACAAACAATAAGCTCGCCTAAATAGTAAAATATATACATAGGTATAATATATTATGTTTGTTTATCAAGTTTTTTACTTACATTTTATACATGGATTAAACATATTTTGATGTAGTACCTAAATACTATACTCGGGTAAATTGACGGGTAATTATTCTTTTATCATTTCGGAAACGTATTTACCTAAATATTACTCTTCTTCTTTAAGCAGATTAAGCAAAAATATTATCTAATCATCGTAAAAGCTTCGCGAAGATAAAGCTTTATCTACACGTGCTATTTTATAGGTAAACTTTTACCGAGATTAAGAAAGAATGCTTATGACCAAATGACTACCCCAATTGAATGAATAAAAAGACTCGTTGGTTTCTATTACCAAATTATAATTAATATGTAATGAATTATAGTATTTTTAGTTCGAATAGATCAGATTCAAATAAGAATATCATATGAGTTTTTTTAATGATTTCCTTACCAAATTCAATCGAAATCTGTATAGCAGTTGAAGCATGAAAGCGTAACAAACAGATTGACAGAATTACTTCCACATTTATCTGTATATTGTATTAAATATTATAAATGTTTGTGAGTATGGACGTTAGTTACTCTTTTATGCCAGAACGGCTGAACGGATCTGGATGAAATTTGGCACAGAGATAGATTATAGCCTGGAATAACACATAGGCTTTTTATCCCGGAAAAAATTATGGTTCCCGAGGGATAGATTTGTTTATGTTATTCCATTCATATACCGCCTCTAGTACCTAATAAATTAGTACCTATGTACGATCAAAACGAAAAATCCAAGGTTTGTTGTTTGATTTGTTAACTTACCCAAGCTATTATAAATATTATAAGTTAATTGGTGATGATATTATTATTTTTGTATCATTTTATATACTTATATAATTTGATTAGATACGAAATATTACTTAACGATAACAAGATACAATAACAAGTAATACGAGGCATACGCCTTAGTAAAGAGTATTTAAAAACTTATGTAATTATAACTATAATATTAGGTATAATTAAAAATGTTATTTATATTATATATGCTTGACGTTTTGATTTAATAAAACATAAAGATTTTCGATTTCTTTTTAATTTATCTCAATGCCTAAGTTTCTGTAGTTCAAAGTAATTATGATGGATATCTAAACAACAACTTTTTATTATTGAAAGAAAATGTGCATGTTATGCAAAGCTAGGCACAATGCATTTACTTAGAAGATTGTTTTTTTAATTACATTTTAAATACATGCACATTTTAATTTTATTGATTTAAGGTGAGATATTTTATTCTAATTTTTTATCTGTATCGCACATGTGGTGTTGCAAGTCGGCATTTTTATGCAAAATGGCGTCGATACGATATTATAACAAAATCGTAGCCGGATTTTATAGTGTGTACAGGGTGAGGAACATGTGTGCCGACTTAGGAACTTATAGTTTATTAGGCGGAAACATTTTTATGTTTGAAAGAAAAAAGTTCTCAGAATATACGAAATGACTTTTTTTCGACCCGAATGCCGATACATTATGATTTATAGTTAAAATGAAATAATAATACTACTTTAATTTTTTTAGATATTCGTTTTAATTAGTTAAATAATAAACTTTTAATAATTTGATACTTAGCTATAAATATAAGATATTATCTTTCTAAGTATTAGATGCATAAGAAACGCCTATGAGAAAGGATAATAAAGGCATGAATTTAATTAACTTGTTTAGGTTCTATAATGTATATATTTAATAGTTTAGATGCAACTTCAACCTTACCACTTAATTTAATAAGATTAAGAAGCCAGTTAACTTTATTCTAACAATAAGTCATAAGTAGAAATATGTAGATTCTAGACAATTTTTTCATTCTCTGTTCGGATTATAAAATGAAATCTCATAAATATAGTTTAATAGTACTGACAGGCTTCCTTTCATTTACATTCTTAGCATAACATCTATTTTAAGTAACTAAGTAGATACTTAGAATATAACCACCAACACTTGTTAGTTTCTTTAGCGTCAGACATTTTTTTTAGCAAAAATGCAAGTCATAATATGTAAGCATTTTAATAATTTTCTTTATATCACGATTCTGGGCTGTGTTTCAAATTAAATTAATTTTGACGTGACGTGATCTACTCCATACGTGCTTAAGCAATAAAATAATGTGCTTATTAATAATATTATTTGAATTTTATTACATTTATATAAATTTAACATAACCAAGTCAAATTCATGTTCTATCAATAATTTCGCAAGAAAAAGAAATTTTCTAATAGGCGATATTATTGTAAATTTTTCGCGGTTTCCGAAACATAGTGACGTTGGTACCTATTCTTGAAATAACTTTAAATTTTAATGATCTAACGGAAGTGAATCTGACGACTTCATTATTGCTTACCTGCATAAGACATCGTTAGCATACTATTTCGGTCTAGACAGATATAATGTTTGCGTTTGAGTCAATCATTTATTCAGCAGTGTGTCCGACGCTGGCGACATCTCACGGGAGGCCAAAGCGCACGCACGATTTATTATCCCCTCTACGAATAGGGCCACAAATTAATTAATCAAACTTAGCTGTCAGTCAGTGCACAATCTACTAAACTTAGCTCGGGATTCTGAGGCCAGTTTCCTTTTCCTGTCGACACCGCGACGTTTCATTAATTGAAACGACATTAAGGTAATATTTTTTTACGTGCGAGTTTCTATTTTAAATTTTTACGTGCTGGAACACTTCTTGAAAATGGCGGTGTTTAAATTAAAATTTACAGATTTAAAAAATGAAAAAATAACCGCGTGACAATAAAATGCTCTGTCGAACGGTTTTAGAAAAAAAATCTCAAAGCGATATCATAGTGGTAATAACAATAGGTGTTACGTGTAGTGTTAAAAATTTGGGCAGGTGAATTAGTTGCTACCTGGTCGCGTGCGCATCCTTCACATAGGTTGGCGCCTACCGTTTTTAGATATCACTGCATAAAAACACATTTTTTAATGTAATATGCCTTTATTGACGACTAATACACTACATATTTGAAAAGCTTTTTATATCTTTTTGTAATTTCAATATTTAAAGTGTTAAGTGTATAAGCGAGTGTGTATGTATGTGTTTATTTATTTATTTATTAATTACATTTATTTACAATCACTTACAATAATACACGCAAATATAAAAATAGAACTAAGAACTAGAAACTAAATTTAGTGATTACTTACAAATAAACACAACTTGCACAGTAATAAAGTTTTTTTAATATTATACAAAATATATTTTAGAAGTTTAAACAATGTTTTTTTTTAATTAATTATTATTTCAAAATAAGTTTTACTTCTTAGTTACATTTATCTAACAATCATATCATTATATAAGAGTCCCATTCTTCGCAAAATTGGTTTTACGGAATTTGCCCAAGGAAATCGGCAAATATGCTGACATCTATGTTTATAAGAATTTACAGCTTTAAATATCGTGATACTGGTGAATTGGCACCTAGGATCGTTCGACAAAGTGGTGGACGAAGTGGGATAATAAGTACATCAGACTATTTTTTCTATGAGATGATTTGATATATTATACACTCCCTTTTGTTGAATTATTTATTTGCATACAAATAAAATCGCTGACTCGACAAATAACCTTTGTAACAAATCTGTACACAGAAATCAAACTCGATGGTTTATCACTTATTTATAATTAATATATCTGTCGTAAATAACGGCATTGAGATTCAGTATTTGTAATGACACGGTTGTAAGTGTTCCTCTTATAACCCGAATTTGTACGTCAATTGAATATTGTATATTGAAAATGAAATGATAAGTTTCTATTTAACATATGTTTGTTTCATTTACCTAATACAGTTGCACGAATGACTTTCCACCTAGTGGTAGCTTAGTAGTAACGTGTTCGCTCGATCAAGAAAACGGGTTCAAATCCCGTTTCTCGCGTACTTATTTGATATTTTCGTGGGCGAATCATTTTTGTACATGATTAGCACTCTCTTTACGGAGACGGCAAATAATTTGAGTAATCCCACCAACCCGTACTTTGCCACCTTAGTGGACTATGGCCTGATCCCACTTGAGGAATCCGTGACCAGCAGTGGGACTTTAAAAAATGCTGAATAAAGACACTCTGGATTATAAGTAGGTAAATACTTACTTATAATACCTACAGAGAGTCTTAGTTCTTATCAGTATTTAAATAACTACTTTTTGCAAGTGGTTCAGGTCGTTTGGTTTACCTATTATAAAGACGTAAAATTTGTCTGTTTGTTAAAGATAAGATCTAAAACTAAAAAATAAAGTAACTAACTCAAAAACTATGTACAACATCGAAATAAAACGTGGCGTGCATACCGTGATAAATAATAGAATATGCCAATGTGTAACTTAGTATATGTATGTAAGTGTAGCACCTAGGTATGTGTATAAAACCTAACAAACAAGGTACCTATTAAGTTAGTATCTTAAGAAATAATTATCAGATAGTTAAAATATATCTTTATCGTATAAAATTACACTATAAAACATTTAATGAACATCTCAAATGATAAAAACTTTTTAACAAAAAAATAAAAACCGACTTCAAACAAAAGCACTTAAAAGTAACAAATAACTGATTGGTAGTTTTCATTTACTATACATACCTAATCAAATATTTTCGAAGTCGGTGTGCTTAGCTTTGTATGGGCTGGCACCGATTTCGAAAATATTTGATTAGGTATGTATTTAATA